AGCGGTTTTCAAGCGGGATGGCATTCTCTAGCTTATAGGAGGTCATCAAAACAACAAGGATACAGCAACAATCGGTCACTTTCAGAGACGTGTGCTCGACGGTGCAAGATACGCGTTTCTTAACTCTTTTATCTGTTTAACTAATGCTAGTTTTGCAGGTATCGGCGTTACAAGAGTGGTTTAGGATCGCAAAACGTTCTGAATCATTCTCCGTCCCTATCGCTACTTTGACTTTTGTTTTCGAAACTTGCGTTTCTCCAAACTCAGTCAAAGTGGGGGCTTCTGTAGACACCCATTTGTGTCTCCCCAAAACCAAACCCAGTGATGAGTGCCTTTCACGCTGAATCATAATCGAATGAAGTGAAAGTGTGGAAAGCTTAGTGTTGCGGAAAGTTTTATTTTCTTTTCTCTTCTCTCTGTTTTTGAAAACTTATTTTAAGAAAACAGTCAATAAAGTTTGGTTGGTCCATGATATGGGTTCAATAGTAGTATAGTTGGATGGGGCTTGACAAGACCTTTCCAACGATATATTTTAAGCCCAATTCCGATGAATATTGAGGAAGTTATGGCCAATTTACTAAACTAGACCCGGTGTAAGCCTTATATGCGGCCCAATGATCTAGAGGAGGGCCTAATATGATTTATCATTCCTAATGCAATTAGGAATTGTTTTAGTCATCTAGATTGTTCTAGAAGGTTCTTTTCATTCCTAATTCAATTAGCATTGATAAATTGACTTTTGTTGACTTTTCAGAGTTTTAATTAAAATCAAAGAACATTTTTGAGGAAAAGATACGATTTTATCCTCCTGTACGGCAGAATTTATCTGATTTTAGAAAACGCGTCAAAAACAGGATTCGCGCCTAACGCCAGGCATTGGCGCCTGGCACCAATGGCCAATTCCTGGCGCCAATCTCGTTTTGCGTGCGTCAGATGCTCTGTTTTGTAATTTTATCTTTTTGGCTAATTTCTCTATAAATAACGTATTAAAAACTCCGTTTTCATTCACCAATTCTCATCAACATTCTTATACATTCACCAACAACCAGTTTTCATCCATATTCACCTACAACCAGTTTTCAATTCTCTTTCATTCTCTTTAATCATTCGCTAATTCTCATCAAGATTTCCTTAATCCTTCATTCATCTCTCTCCATCTCTTTTTCTAAACCTTGCTTTTTACATACAAAATTCCGCATTCACAAGATCTAGATACACCTAGCAATATTCGAAATTGCCTTCGCCCTAGACGTGAAAGGTTTAATTTTTGAGGGTTTGGTCCCAAATCTCTCTTTCAATTTTTTAATTTAATTGTTGTTTTTTATTTTCCTTGTAGTTACTAACGCGTGTATTTTGTTATTAGAAAGAGGTACGAGGCATCAAAGTAAGTACTTTAATGGTTTTTATTGATGTTATTATGTAGATATCATGTTTAAATTGTTATTATGTTATTCCTAGTATCATGTCTAGGGTAACTTTAATATTAAATATGATTGTTACGATACTTCTTATTCTCTTCCTAATATTTATTCATGTTAGTATCATGTTAGGGATAAATATTTGATTTTTATTGCTTAGTGACATGGTAGGATTTGTTATTAATCTTGTTAGTATCATGCCTAGGATCTTGCTATTATTATGCTTTAATATTAACATGAACATGATTATAATTATAATGATTGTAATTTATGATGATGATGATTATTATTATTATTATTATTATTATTATTATTTTGATGATTATTATTTTATTTATGATGATTATTATTATGATTATTATTCTTTATGATTATTGTTTTGATGATTAAAATTTTATTGTCTTGATCATTATTATTATTTATTATGTTGCTTGATATTATTTATTGTTGTTGCTTGATCACGCCTTTTATGCATGTTTAAAGGGAATTTTGTATTTGTAATCACGCTTAATAAGATATTTAATAATCTTCTTAGGGTTAATATGATTATATTTCAAGTTATCGCCAATAATAGATTTATTTGTGCATTAATATTCAACCAACATAGATAAACAGGTTTAGGGTTAATCCAATTGATTGTATGTTAATTAGAAAGCGCACATGAATACGATCAGAATAAAGTAGAGGCATATTATTAGGGCAGGTTCAATCTCTTTTAGGTTGGATTTGTACCTTCATCCCCGAACCCTTATTTGGTTCTAGACCTTATGGAGTTGACGATCTCTTGGATCGTTAAGGGGTGTAACCTTCACCCTGTGAACGGTTTACAAGTTCCTAAAACTTGTTGGCGACTCTTTTGCTCTATCTTCTTCCCTTTTGGACGCCACCGTACTTTAGTGTATGATCACAGTGGGGTTCAAGCAAGGGGTTAACGCTTGAAATATACTCCCTACAGCTCCAATAAGCATCAAATTTGTCTACTTCCTGAGAGACAGGAAATTCATAGGGACGATGAAGATCCCCTGAAGGAATTGTTTGAAGTAGGTCGTACTGTCTTTTTACCCTGCAGGGATAATAAAAAGTCATTCTGGATAAGCTTGGAAGACGGCAGAAAGGTTGCTTGTTGACACCAACCATCTTTTCTATTTTCCACCAAGGGATGACCCACTTGATGGAAAAATTGCAAGACTCGAAGACCTTCTACCATTCATGGTGCCCCATCTTAGAGAAGAGTTTCTTCCTTCTCACAAAGCAGTTTGGAGTGTACTTTTTAATGTTTTCTGGAGGACTAATTAATTCTAGTCTTTCCATTAGCCACATCTGTAAAAAAAATTCAATGCAAATAACTTATTATTACTATACAAAAATATGTTTTTGATTTATGTAATTAAAAATATTATTTTTCTACCTGTAATAAAGTTGGAGAGCCCCGAAAAGGTGCTTTTGGATTCTTCTTTAATTCATCAAGACTAAGCATAGTCTCTCCAAAAATTAATGGCATTGGATTTCTCCCAGATTCAATCTCCTCCAAAACAGTTGATATGATTGCTTGACCCTCATTAGTTCTACCACTAGTGAGAAGATATTGATTAAGCATGGAAAAAAGAAAAAGCCCTTCTTCTATAATCATGAAAAGACTCAGAATAAGGTCTATTAAAATAATGGCAAGCAAACTCTTTCAAATTAACTATGCTACCATCTACTATATTCGTTAGATCTTTGTCTTTTAAATTAAAGAAGTGCTCAAAATCCTTATAATAATATTCATTTATTCTAGGGATTACTACAAGATCTAATGCAGGGAAGCCTAAGATAGCACCGAATTCTTCCGGCAAAGGGCTAATTTCTTCATACCCTAATCTAAAACAATGAGTGTCCACATCCCAATATTCTAAGGCGGTATGAATAAAGTCTACATCAAGATCTACCCCCTTGACACCATAAATACCCCCCATATGAAAAACATCTAACTCTTTTCTATCCTTGGCAGTTAGAGACCGACACCATTCATGAGTGAAGTTGGTAAAACTTTTAGAGACTAGAGACATGATTATTATTTTTTCAAAAGCTAAGGATATATTTAATCTGCTGAAATTATGAAGAAAATCGGCTGGCTGACGTATATTATCATATGCGCTTTTCAAAACCGCGTTTTTTGGCCTGATTCGAGTCTGACCAATGACTTTACGGTCTATTATAATTTTTATATCCTTTTTCTAATTATATTATTTCCTTCTCCTTAATTAATATATCAATCATATTAATTATATTATTTTTTGGATTCTATCTAGACTTAACTTTTAAGTTTTTATAAGTCCAATATTTTTACTTTCCTTTTTTTCATTTTTTCTTTTGGGGAGAAAGTCGGATACCCTCCATCAATAATAAAAATGACGGAATTTTTGCGCAAAATTAATTATCACAATTCTTTGCACACACAAACATCCACATAAAAATTAAAAAAAGATAAATAATAAAAGTAAATATTGAATAAACTCATAATAGCATATATATGCAAATATGTCTAAATAATGAGTCTAAATAAAGGCAAAGTTCTATACAAAGTCAAAATAAAGAATAAAAAATAAAAAAAAATAATAAAAAAAGCACAGGAATAAACTACGGCGCCGGGGGACGTACACCCATCATCTCATAAAACTGCGCTGTACTAGGAGTAACCTCTCCACCAGCTCCAGCTCCAGCTCCGGTCTCCTCGGGAGGTGGAAAACTCAGCTCAAGACCCGTCCACCCAAGATCAACCTAAAGCTGAGGCTGCGGAGGGTGCTGCGATGACGAGCCGACTTCATACATCCCACCACCTCTAAGAGCCGAGGTTGCCTCTCCCTGGCCTACCGGCGCAGCATGCGCGCCCTCTGATGAAGAGCTTGAGCCCTCCACCGCCTCGGTGCAGGAAGCCTCAGAACGACAACCCCGATCGCCAGAACCCGTGCGGCGATGTCTCGAGCTAGACCTCGTCGGCTCCCTCCGCACCTCAAGTCTCGTACGGGTACGAGAAGGAATGGGGTGACCCTGCAAAAGACATTAAATCATAAACAAGCAAAATAGAAGCAGTAATGCAAAAATAAGATGGGAAACTACCTCCTGAACGGCGTCGTCGCGACGACATGTAGCCACGTTCCTCATCCAAACGAGCTGGCTCCGGAAGGCACCTATACACCGTGCCATCGCCGTGACCACCTCGCGCGAGAACTATCAAAGAAATGATGCATAACATATAGACAAAAGTTGTAAATAAATAAAGCTTATGTCCCCTGATAATGGATGGACATACGAGGTGGCACGAACTCAGTAGGTCTAGCCTGACAAAGGCAAATCAAAGTCAGTAAAACCTTATTTGGGGGCTACTTAACGGAAGGTAAAAGCTGAAAATCATACTGCCACCTCCTCAACCGGTACAGGGACTGGAGCTAACAATGGCAGTAGCTCCTCCTCATAGCACCGCCCAGGGATCGTATAAGATCGCCAAGGGATACCAGCTCTCTCTGACATGCTCACCAACCTCGTGGCGTTGAACATGTGACGCGGTGGAGGAGCAGGAATGACAAAAGTGTCCGAGGAATGCTAAATAGCAACCCTCTCTCCAAGGTATGCAATCGCTCCATATGTCCCCAAGAAGTAGCAACGCTTAGCAGTATACTGCGCGGCTAACCCAGGGACAACCACGCCAACCCACGGCCGGTACAGCACGTAAGGCTCCTGCAAAGAATGTCAATCAGATAAGAATCCATCGAAGGTAATGCAAAGTGTTCAAATATATAAAAGAACCATACCGAGATGATCCAATCTCGGACATAAGCTGTAGACATCCCAGCACGATGGCTTTCCCAGGAGGCACTCACAAGAAACCTGCGCGGCGACGGTCTCGCCGGCGCAACCGAGGGAAAGTACTCGTAGAACCAAATCTACAAAAGGCAAAAATTATCAGCAAGTCCTAATCAAATCTTAGAGCTAAACTTTAAAGGGAGATAAAGTATACCTCTACGACCCTCTTAAAGCCGGATAGAGCGACGCTCCCCGTGAAGGACCGGTGTCGACACGAGTCTCACAACGCTCGAATGAAGTCAGCATAGGCCAAGCTGACCCAGTCATAAGTCCCGATCAAATGTAGATCACGGACTGCAGGTAGGTAGTAAAGCAGCACTCTACTACCCTTGTCAGGGGAGAACGTCCCTGGCAGCATGATGAGCACAAAGATGCGCACCCGCTGCTCTCGGGTGGTCGCATCGTCATCAAAAGCCGCTCCTAGATTCGAACGGCAAATCCCTTCGCGCTGAACTGAGTCGACTCCACCTCAGCACGAGCCCAAACAGCAATCGGAACCAACAGCTCCTCGACCTTAGGGGAATAGACACTGATCTCGTTGTCAAATGGCAGCGCAACAGAGCTAAACTCCAGTCCCGTGATAAGACTGAAGTCGGTCGGGGTGACCATCATCTCACCCCAAGGAAAGTGGAAAGTATTGGTGGTGTCCCAAAAGAACTCCACCAGAGCACGAACCACGTGATGACCCCTGCTAGAGGCAGTCAGTCCACAAGACTCCCAGAGAAGTCTCACCCCTCCATCATTGCCGAAATACATCTTGTACAGGTCGCCCAAAGTGTCGCAACCTGAACCATGGCAGCACGTTCTACCGACCGTGATCCCACGTCGCACCCTCTCAGAAATGTGGTGGACGGGGGAGAAGTACAGAGTCCGCTCATCCCAATTTGGGAGAGGGCCGAGAGAAGTGGACGAGTCGGCGTCGTCCTCTACGGGCTCGTGCTCCCGTCGAACGTCTCAAGACCGTGAACCCGAACCTCGCTGTCTATCCATGCTACATTGTGCAAAATTATCATAAATTAAGGTTCTATAGTATCTAAGGTTCGCCTAGCCGCATGATACTATGTTCGCAAAAAATAGAGTACGTAGTACTAAAACGGAGCACAAATTCAGATTGAGAATATACGGCATTTTTCGAGAATTCAAACAATTTCTTGCAATACTATAATAATTATTGTGACAAATTGGACAAGAATTGCTAACAAAAACATCAAGAACAAGCCACATAGTCTTCTCGACCTTAAGGGGTTCAACAATGGTGATTTGTTTGTTTCTTCACCAAATTGAGTCAAACAAGTCTCAAATTACTCCCAAGGCAACATATAAACATAATTAAGCAATTTCATGGCGTAAAATTTGACAAACAAAGTGAATTAAGCAAATCAAGTTTCGAATTTTCAAGAAATTCGTGAATAAACATATGTGAAATTCATGGGAACCGGAATGAGTTTGAAGAAAACTTACATAGATCGGGAAAATGGATGGAATAAAATTTGATTTGCAACAAATTAGAGCGAATTCGGTTGAGAAACGAGCAAGAACGAGTGAATTGAAGTTCTGAGCGAATCCTCGAGCAAAAAAATGAGCAGCAGCAGTGGAAATGAAGAAGAAAGGGGTATTTATGGAAAACCCGACTCTAGCTCCAAGCGACAGGCCTTGGCGCCAGACGTTAAAGCTTAGCTCCTGGCGCTAGTCCTAGCGTCTGGCGCTAGAGCCATATATGCGGCGCTAGCATTATATCAACGGCGACAGACTGTCCAGCCACTTGGTGCGGTTATTCCAACTTCTTGTAATATATTTTGGGTTCCTTGGTACGCCAATTAGCCCCTCTAAGAAATTTGACATGATTTAGTAATCTACTCGATTACAATTACATAAAGTGATCGACCTGATGAATGATCGCCTCACTTAGCTTAAAGCGCCTAAGCATTGGCTCATCGCAAGGCACCGACATACTGGTTCATTCAGCAAAAGGCACCGACATACAGGTTCAAAAAGCAGCAAAGGCACCGACATACAGGTTCAAAAGCGGCAAAAGCGCCGACGTACAGGCATAGAGGAAGCAAAGTTCAAGCGAGCTTTTCAAGATCGACAAGCGTGGGTCTTCGGTAATTTTCCTCGGAATATTATCGCAACAAATGAAGATAGCTTCAAGCGAGGATATCTTCGACTGCGTTCGCTAGCTTGCGAAGAGTTGTCACAAACAATTGAAGTTGATTTCAAGCGAAGTTGTCTTCGATCGTGTTCCCTAGCTTACGGAAGATGGTTACAAAGTGCTAGAAGGTGGTTTCATGCGAAGAAATCTTTAATGGGGTTTCTCTAGCTTGCAAAAGTCTATCATGGTGGAATTGGAGGCCGTTACAAGCGTAACAGTCTTCAGGCGGCATTCTCTAGCTTGTAGAAGGTCGTCAAAAATACAGAAATACAACAATGCAGCAGCAAATCGGTTACCTTCAGAGACGTGTGCTCGACGGTGCAAGATACACGTTTCTTAACTCTTTTATCTGTTTAACTAATGCTAGTTTGCAGGTATTGGCGTTACAAGAGTGACATAGGATTGCAGAATGTTCTGAATCATTCTTCGTCCCTATCGATACTTTGACTTTTGTTTTCAAAACTTGCGTTTCTCCAAACTCAATCAAAGTGGGGGATTCTGTAGACCCATTTGTGTCTCCCAAAAACCAAACCCAGTGATGAGTACCTTTCACATCGAATCATAATCGAATGAAGTGAAAGTGTGGAAATTCTAGTGTTGCGGATAGTTTTAATTTCTTTTCACTCTGTTTTTGAAAACTTATTTTAAGAAAACAGCCAATCCAGTTTGTTTGGTCCATATTATGGGCCCAATAATGGTGTAGTTGGATGGCGCCTGAAAAGAGCTTTCCAACGATATATTATAAGCCCAATTCCGATGAGTAATGAGGAAGTTATGGCCAAATTACTAAACTGGGCCCGGTTTGAACCTTATATGCGGCCCAATGATCTAGAGGAGGGCCTAATATGGATTTATCATTCCTAATGCAATTAGGAATGGTTTTAGTTTTCTAGATTCTTCTAGAAGGTTCTTTTCATTCTTAATTCAATTAGCATTGATAAAATTGACTTTTGTTGACTTTTTGGAGTTTTAATCAGAATAAAAGAGTGTTTTTAAGGAAAATACGATTTTGCCCTTCTGTACGGCTAAATTCTATCTGAATTTAGAAAACGCGTGAAGAAATTAATAAGCGCCTAACGCCAGACTTTAGCGCCTGGCGCCTAGCGCTAGCATTAGCGCCTCGTGCTAATTTGTTTTTTCCTCGTCGAAACTCTTATTTGTTTTTTATCTTTGGCAGATTTTCTCTATAAAAAGCCTCCTAAAAACTCCGTTTTTCATCACCAATTCTCAAGAATTCTCTAATTCTCTTCTCTCTCTAAGCTAAAGTTCTTTTCTCTCTAATTTTATACACAAAATTCCGCATTCACAAGACCAAGAAACACCTAGCCAAGTTCGAAGTTGCCTTCGCCCTAGACGTGAAAGGTTTTAATTTCTGAGGGTTTGGTCCCTAATCTCTATTTCAATTACTTAATTTAATTTTTTGTTTTATATTTTCCTTGAAGTTACTAACGCGTGTATTTTGTTATTAGAAAGAGGTACGAGGCATCCAAGTAAGTGCTTTAATGGTTTTTATTGATATTATGATATAGAAATCATGCTTAGATTGTTATTATGATTCCTAGCGTCATGTTAGGGTATTTTGATCTTCCTGGTATCATGTTTAGGGTAACAACTAAAAAATCCTAATATCAAGTATGATTAAAAGTATAATGTCTTTTATGTTCTTTCCTAATATCCGTGTTTGTTAGTATCATGTAAGGGCTATATATTTGATCTTTATTGTTTAGTGACATACTAGGGTTTGTTATTAATCTTGTTAGTATCATGCTTAGGATCTTGCTATTAATATTATTATGCTTTAACATGATGATTTTAATTATTATGATTGTTGTTTCATTTATGATTATAATTTTATTATCATGATTATGTTGCTTGATGTTTATATATTGTTATTGCTTGATCATGCCTTTTATGCATGTTTAAAGGGAATTGGTACTTGTAATCACGCTTAATAAGATAATTAATAATCTTGTTTAGGGTTAATTTGATTATAATTCAAGTGATCGCCAATAATAGATTTATTTGTGCATTAATATTTATCCAACATAGATAAACAGGTTTAATTAGGGTAAACTTATTGATTGCATGTTAGTCAGAAAGCGCACATGAATACGATCAGAATAAAGTAGAGGCCTATTACTAGGGCAGGTTCAATCTCTTTTAGGTTGGATTTGTACCTTCATCCCCGAACTACCAGTCATGGTTCCAGACCTATTGGAGTTGACAATCTCTTGGATCGTTAAGGGGTGTAACCTTCACCTCGTAAACGGTTTACAAGTTCCTAAAACTTGTTGGCGACTCTTTTGCTCTATCTTTTTTCCCTTTGGACGCCACCGTACTTTAGTGTATGATCACAGTGGGGTTCAAGTTTGGGGTAATGCTTGAAATATTCCCTACAGCTATCCATTTTGGATACTTGGAAACTTTGATGAAACCTGCGGCCAATTGCTTTCTAATTTCTTCCTTGATTTTGAGAGCCACATCCGGTTTCATACGACACAGATTTTGTTTGACAGGCTTCATACCTGGAATGAGTGGTATTGTATGCTGAGCTATATCCTTGTCAATTCCTGGCATATCTTGGTATGACCAAGCAAATACATCAACAAATTCACTAGGCAAGTTAATTAGCTCTTTGTGTTCGTCTTGACTTAGTGTTAATCCAATTTTTACTTCTTTGATAGTCGTATCATTGGAAATATTAACTGTTTATGTATCTTCAATAATTACTGTTTTATTTTTATGTTCTTCCATTGCTTTTATTATTTCTTTGTCAGATTTATCATTAGCAAAGCAATATTGATTAGGGTTAGGGGAATGACACGCATCGTAAGCAAAGGTACTCATCTCATTAAATTCATTGGTCATTACACCAAGGAGGGCAAGGTCAGTTGCGAACTCGCCAGAATTATTTGGGATAGAAAGAGGAGACTCAACAAGAGACTCAGCACTAGACTCTATAGCAGAAAGGGGTTCGGCCTCAAATCCTAATTTAAAGACTCGTCTACAGACTTACACTCATACTCGAACTCGGACCCAGACAACTCAGATTCATTAAACATAGGACCTTCGCCAGCGGTCACTTCCAACTTCTCTCCACTTGGCGTAGTGATCTTCACTATCTTGCGCCATCCTTTTGACACGTTATCAGCCGGTACGATTAATTCAGAGGGGTCAAAATCTTTGCTTGATATGACAGCTTGAATGAGTTCAGAATCATCATTGTAGACAGGCTTGGATTCATTATTTTCTAGTCCAAAAAGAAGATTAATGTTCATATCATCAGACCTTGGACTAGCTGGTTTCTCAGTTGTGAAGAACTCATCGCCTTCATTGACGAAGTCGCAATCAAGGAACATCTTGAAACCTGGCTCACGCTTCCCATTGTGGACGAAAGGCTCAGGGAATTCATAGCAAGGGAAGTTTTCCCCTTCTTTGATGTACTGGCCATTGAGAGTGAAGGGATATGGGTCCATGGCCATTTCCTTCTTCATGGTTCGAGCATTATTGCGAGCCTTCATTTTCATGAGAGCTTGTTTCACATCTTCTTTTGTTGGCTTGAATCCCAAGCCAAAGGTATCCATCTTAAGTGCACCAGGATGGCCCCAAAGTTCAGCCATTTTCTTTTTGAGTCCGAGGGTCATTCCGGGGAAATGCCCTTGCTTCTTCATAATGGCATTTACATTGGTGTTTGAATAAGGATCAAAGTCGAGGCGACACTTCTCCTCTTCTTCGATCATGAGAACATCATCCAACGAAAATCCCCAGAGATCTTTATCTTCCTCGTCATGTTCGACATGGACAATGGGAGTATCGATAACTTGAATGCGTATAGGGGAGGAATCAATGGTAATTGGAACCCCTCCAACTATAGCTTTCACCTTTTGGTGCAACGACAATGGGATCACCTTTAGTTCATGAAGCCAAGGACGACCTAACAGAAGATTGAAAGAAGCCTTAATGTCCACCACCTGAAACTTGGTGCGACGTTCAATGGATCCAGTAGTTATGTTTAGCATGATAGTACCCACGACTTGACGGCAAGTATTATCGTAAGCACGAATCCCTTGAGTAGAGGGAGTCAATTCTTCATTTTTTATGCCCAACTTCTTTGCAGTGCGGAGTGGGCATACATTGATTGCAGAACCATTATTAACCAGGCTCATAGGGACGTTCATCTGTCTTCACACCATAGTGAGGTGTAAGGCCTTGTTATGTTGGTCCCCTTCCAGGGGCAGATCCTTGTCAGAGAAAGAAATCAGATTGCTGGTACTTGGCTTCAGTAGTGAGAAAGTTGACCAGTCCTTGAGGAGTCATATCATTATCAACTCCTATTTTCACCAAAGCATTCATCACAGCCTTTCGATGCTCGTGAGATGTGGCCAAAAGCTTCCATACATTCATTTCTACCTTGGTCATTTGTAATTGTTTGACCACATCATTGTTCACAGGGTCGATGGGATCAACTATTGGTTGTGATTGCGGTGGAGGTGTAGGTTGACTAGGTTGTTGCAACCGTCCACTTCTGGTGAGAACTTTGACCTCAAGGTCTCCCTAGACATCTTCACTTGTGCCAAGAGACGAACGGGCTATATCTTTGAGATAGACGTCTTCATTGTCACTATCCCAAATTCCATTTACTTCTTCATAGTTTGAGACAAATACAACTTCCGACAGAGGTTCATTCCAGTTTGAATTAGTATTGACGGATCAAAGGAGACTTCATCTCCCATGATAGCCAAAGCATCAGAAAGAGGACCTGTTTGAATATTAGGCTTCTTGCCCCCTGGAGGGACAGGAATTTGATTAGCATCAATCAGGTCTTGGATCGCATCCTTCAACTCCAACACTTCTCTGTAGTATGACCCTTGCCTTGATGAAACTTGCAATGAGCATTGGGGTCATAGCTAGCAGTTCTGTTCTCTGGCCGAGGTTCTGGACTATGCAAGTGGTCAAAAGCAGCATCATAAGTCATTCCCAAAGGCGTGTAAACCCTCCTTTGCCTTTGGAATCTCTGAGGGCAAGCATTAAGAGCTAGCACATCATTGACATTGACATTGTTGGTAGCATTATTGGGCTTGGAAGACGAAGAAGGAGTGTCATTCTTCTTGTTTTTCCAAGTGTTGTTATTATTGTTTCTACCAGCAGTCTTCATCAGTTCATCTTCGATATTGATTCCAATATCGTACATAGCTTCAAAGGTATTCAAAGGCAGAAACTTCTAGTGTTGCTTATACTTATGAGTTAGATTTGCAATAAACATGCGAACCATCTCTTTCCCCTTGGGAGGATCCACTAAGAGCGCAGCTATTTCTCTCCACCTGCTTAGGTAAGTAGTAAAGCCTTCATTCTCCTTCTGTTTGAGAATGGAGAGTTCACGTTCAGAAGTCTTGGCTTGGATGTTACACTTGTAACGGTTCATAAAGCTTTCAGTAACATCCTCCCAGGTCGCAACATGTTTGGATTCCAGAGAGTAGAACCACTATTGACAGGCATGCTCCAAGGAAAAATGGAACACAGTAGGGAAGAGTGTCACATCTAATCCCTTAAGAGCCATGGTCGCAGAAAAGGCCTTCAAGTGAAACAGCAGATTATCAGTAGGCTTGAACTTGGGAATGTCAGCAGTGGAAAACTTCTCAAGAAGTTTGTCCCTTATGGACGAAGAGGTGGCAGGTTGCTCCACATAAGTGAATTCTTTAGAGATCTTACTCATTTGTTCTTTAATCTTGTCATTGCAGCGACAGTGACATTGTTTTGATTGTCTTGCTCTACCGTGTTGACTCTAGTGGTGAGTGTTTGCATCATGTTGGACAACATCTCAATGGTCTTGTTAATGCTCTCGATATCCTCCTTAGTAGCCATTGGTTGAAAGTAAACCGGAGACGGACTTTGTGGAGATGATTGTGGTGATTTCCTTGTACGCCTCTTTGGTATAAGAGGTTGTTGAGGTATTGACTCGAACCGTAACAATCTACCCCTGCTTCTCGACCAAGTGCTGTGACACCAAAACAAACACACCTTTAATGACCAAACTTAACCTTGACCCATCCAGAAATAAATTTTTTTTGTTTTTTTGAAATTTGCTTTATTTTTTTTATTATTTTTTTTAAAAAAAAAGTATGGGAGGATACCATCCGACTTACTCCGAAAAAAAAAATGAAAAAAAAAAAAGACACAAGACCACCCTAAAGTACGGTCAATAAATGGTGCACGACTAACAGAAAAGTGTGTGAACACGACATGTGAGTGATTAAGTGAGGGTTATGGACACGTGTTATGATCGTACAGCTAGACAAGACATCAAACCAGACACACGAACCACATAAGCATGCACAAAGACCAAAATAAATTGACTGGACAATTCTCCTGGGCACCGTGTCACGGTGCTGACTGTCGTGACACGGTACAGTGCACCGTCAGACGGGACAATGCATCGTGTCACGGCATCGCACACCGTGGCGCGGCAGACCTGCCGTGACACGGTGCGCAATTCCAGGCCTAAATTTGCATAATTTCCAGGCTTTAATCAATTTTAAGTCCGTACTAATTACTATGTGGAAATAAAAACCCTCGATCATACGTTAAACAAAAAGAGCAAACACATGAGGGTTAGCACCAAATAAACCACATAGCATTTAGTCATGATGATGTAAAAAGAGTACGCAACCTAACGTCAAGATCTATGTTCAAATATTGGTCAAGCTTTGGGTATCAAAAAGGGTACCATGGTTAAGAGTTTGGACGCGTTAGCAAGGCAGCCTCCCTTAAGGGTGTATGCCAACGGGCGGCTCCGCGAGTTTGTGATGAAATCAAACTCGAATCCATGGTTTGAGTGGATTTGATGACTCGGATGAACCCTTATTGCCATGAACGTTTTTGGGTTGATAGAGCTTAAATCCCCCGGGGCTAAGACGCATGTAGAACACACAAGTTTTTTCAGAAAAACTGAAGGAAGTTGACTGTGAGAGAGAAAATAAGCCACCGGACTGATTTAAGGCCTGCCATGATACGGCAGAGAGCACCGTGTCACAATGTTGCACACCGTCAAATGGTATACTGCACCGTGACACGGCATATTCTGCCGTGGCGCGACACTCAGAAAATCCGATTGCTGCCCTGTTTTCCTTCGTACGCAATCAAGTTATTCAATTTTTCATACGGGACAGACCTAAATGCGACGTTAAAACGTCTATGCTTAAGAAAAAATGCCAAATAATCACAGGAATATTTTTCAAGAATCTTTCAAGTCTCATCCACTCATCTTAATTAAATACCGAGCACTCAAATCGATAAATAACCAAGAATCCTCCCCAGTGGAGTCGGCAAATTATAGGCGTCGTTTGAAGTGCGCCTACGTTAAGCATGTTGTGAATATTCTTGGCACTCATAGGAAGTGGGAATTGACATACGATAAGGGACAAGGAAAGTAGGGAGCCGCCAACAATTTTTTAAGGAACTTGTAAACCGTTCACGGATCATTTAAGGCAACCACGATAAAGAGACAACGATAGGCAACAACGATTGACCCGTGAAGGTTACACCCTATTCATAATCCATGAGATTACTAACTCCATATTGTTCGGAACCACGAAAGGAGGATCGGGGATGATGGTACGAAGTGAGTCATGGAGTCACATTCGCCCATATTGGCCTCTACTCAATTCTTATAGTGAAAAGCATTCCTGTTCTCAAAGGCATACAAACAAAGATTCAATTCGCTCCAAACTATTATTAAGCTAAATTGGTTGAATATTAATGCAACAAATAATTCTAAAATATTCTGATCACTTGAATTAATAACAAGATTAAAAAGGAACCTAAACCGGTCATCCAAATTATCTTATTAGGCGTGATTTTCAATTACATGTTCCCTTTAAACATGCAATATGGTGATCAATAAAAAATAACAGAATCAACATTAATATTAGAAGAAATTTACAAATAAATCCAACAATATAAAATCGTTAGAAAAATAATAGAAATAAAGGAACATAATTCTTACTTTGATTCTGTTTGCTTGCAACTATAAAATAATAAACGAGTTAGTAACTTCAAGAAAAATATAATAAAACAATAATTAACTTTACTTAAATTAAATTAAATAGAATTGATTTGGGGCCAAATCCTCAAACAATTCTACCTTTCACGCCTTGGTTTAAGGACAGAACCACGAGTAAAGTATGGACTTCTTGGAGTGCTTGAAGAGGGAATTTTAAAAGAAGAAAGGTAGGCTAGTGTTTAGGCTAGAGCATAGAAGAGAGAAAAGAGAGAATTAATTTATGCCTCGTACATCAGAAATTAAATGAGGAGGTATTTATAGAAAAAAAAGAGCTGAGGGAACACACGGAACCCTAAAAAGATAAAAACCCTAAAAAAATGCACCACGACATGGCAGAGGGCACCGTCAGACGGGGAAAATTCCCGTGACACGGTGGACAGCTGTGTGACGTGGGAAATGTTTAGGGTACGGGGAATAAAACACGTGAAAGGTTTACGCAGAAAGGACACGGAATTGCTCCGTGTCACAGTAGAGGCACCATGTCACGGGGAATCCCACCGTGGCGCGGCACTGTTTCCCGTGACACGGTGGACAACTGTCGTGACGCGGGAGCCTGCAGTCCGTTTTTCCGTCTAAATTCATTTTTAACCCTAATTTCGTTTAACATTTTTAAGTGTCAATTGATAATTTCGGGCCATTTCTGATTTATATTATTATTAATTGGGCTAAAATAAATAAATAAATAATAAAATAAAAGGTTTGGTCCAAAATAATAAAATAAAATAAAAAGGTTTGGGCTGAAATTAAAAATGAACTATGCTTTGACTAAACATCAAGATTGATCTATGGACTATTCAAAAATTGAATTTAATTAAACACGATTTTTTAAGCACTCTCGGGATTAAAAACTTAACCCAACCAATAATGGCGGTGAAAAGTTGTTCATCATCGGGTTTGGTTTTGGGGAGACACTTTTAGGTGTCTGCAATAGGTCCCTGTAGTATACATTTTTTTGACTAATTAAAATTAGAAGTCAAAATCCTACGTAAGTCAATAATTTGACTAAAAAAAATTAGAGTCGCCACTCTATTTTTGGCCGAATAGAGACGGTCTTTTTGTTTATGATCGTTTTCAAATAGAAAACGACATTGATTCCATTACATGAGGCACTATATAAGTATGGTTTTAGGAAAATAAGAGATCTAGGTACGGGGTATAAGTTAGGAAGATCGAACACTTGGAACTCGTCTCTTCCTCTGTTCTAACGAACAGGCTCTTACTAGTACGTTGTTAATTGGTTATAGTTATTCACGTACTTTTCCTTAAACTAATTCATAAGAACACGAAAGTTTCCACATTGTCAATCACACTCAAATTTAAAATAAAAGTGAATAAACCTTACGATATATGGTGGGTTTGAGCATTAAAGTTGCCCTACGTACCGTTCATTGTGGGATTTGAATCCACTCCCAGATCAAAACCCTATGTAGTTCTTACAAACATCTATTTATACATGGTCAAAATTTTCATACGAGGTTTCGAGAAGGTTTATTATTATTGGAATGAGGCTAAGTAATCTTGCTTTCAAGATGGAGGTCAATTTATCAAGGTTGAGGAAGTCACTAGAATCAGCGACACCATAGGAGTTTCTTTGAGGATAATGATTTTTGTTTGTAAAATGTGTTTGAATTAACGACTTTATAACTTCCAGAAAGAGATTGTATGGGCTTATTTGAGTGTGATAAAAAGGGCATTTTATTTGGTATGAATTTAGAAGAAAACAAAGGAAATGTATATGGATTGTATGAAATTGACTTATGCAAAATGGACATTCCATATGGCTTAAATCTAAATGATATATAATTAATTGAAAACCTTAATCATGTTGGATTACGTAAGCGATCTATCGGAATAATAATACTTTAAAAGTATAATTCTTTGTGGCAAATAGATCATCTTGTAACCTGTCATGATTGAATATTCAATTTTACCCTCTTATTTAAATATAAGCCATAAACCATAACTCGAAAGATTTATTTTTTAATAAAATGATACAAACATACAAAGCCATATTTTACTTAGTTTAAAGTCAGTTGTCTCTTTATCAAGAAATGCATAAGGAAATTTTGCTCTTCCGAACGGGGATGGAATTAAAACTTAAACAAAGGTTCTTTAAAAAGTAAGGCATTTTGTTCATAAATAAATTATTTACCATGCTACTTTTATATCTCCATAGGATATGAAGAAGACTTTTTTTAAAAAAAAAATAAAAATAAAGAGTGTTAGTTTTGAAGTGATACATATGTGTCACTTTATTATATATGTGAGATTAATATTAATTTGAGACATGAGTAATTCATATCTTTCTCAAATAATTTAATTTAAAATATTTCTTTCAAAAAAAAATACCAGAGGTATATATAATAGGGTAACACAAATTATATAATAATGTTCATTCTCTTCTTCCTTAAAGTTCTTAAGGGCTTAAAAACAATCCTAATCTTTCGGACAATATAACTTCTGTTGTAACGGTCGGATTTTAGCATATGATAGATCTTTGGAAATATTTACAAGTCTTCTATAACATATCAAAAATTTGGATTCATCCAACGGTTGAATTAAAAGATAATGAATTTTTTTTGAAATCACTCCAGTTTGGAACGTTCATAGGGAATTGGGTGATAATGGCAAAATACTTCTAAATTGGCATGCTCCTTTTAATGGTATATTAAAGACAAACATATAGATGCTCTGTAGAAAATTCACCATTTTTAGGAGTCATTTGATATATTAAATAAAAAAAGTGTTTTTGGTTGGGAAAAACAGCCTCAAATCAGTTTAACATTTTAATACCTTGCTTTGTAAAAATCATAAAAAATAGAGTATTCATCCTATGAGAACGTGTGACCCCAATTTACAAAGCTTAAGGAATCTACTTTCTTTTTTTTTTGACACAAGGAATCTACTTTCTAGGTAGTCAATTCAAATTTTATTATTAAAAAAGAATGTTAGTCGAAATTAGAGAATAGACAGACCTGTAGTAAGAAATTTATGGTATTACTAAGCCTTAATGTCTGATTTTTTGTGGGTTGGTTAAAATTTATGTTTATAAAATTCCTAGTCTCATACCCTCCTAAATACATAATATTATTGTGGAAATTTTATTTCTTAATTTTATCATGAAAAACGATTTTTTTACATATAAAAAAATGGTCGATTGTGGTATTTTGCTAGAATTCCTTCGTTCATTCTTTAAAGCTTATCATTGCTTCCATTTCATAATGTTGATACATACAAGAAAAAAAATCAAACAAACCATGTATACTCACTCTCAAACTTGCTCGCGATCGGTCAAATTCTACTTGGTTTCCAAATTAGAAAATTGGCACGTATAGTGCCCTAGGAGGTTATGGAACACACAAAAGTAAAAAAGTTAGTAAATGTATGTAAAAATTAATATGAAATCACAAATAAAAAGAAACAAAATATTACCTTTGACTTTGAGTAGCTATCTTTTTTTTTTTTTTTGACAATAGCAAAGGAATTACGTACAAACTAGAGGTCTAAGTTAGAAGTAGAACAACGACATGATTTGGCTATATCATTAGCACGCTGCACTTGTTCTCTTTTAACCTTGATAATAGCACATTTCCTAAACCGATTTCCTACCTTTCTGATTTCGTCCACCATCCAAGCAATGGAGATGTCCTTACCTCGAGAGTCCTTCAAATTTTCCAGCAAAAGGATCGAGTCTGAAAGTATTAGGACTTCCTCAAATCCTTGAGATTTGCTCCACTTAAGAGCCTCTATGCAGGCCCATGCTTCACATTGTAAAGCTGAGGAGGCAGTCCCGTGTTTGCCTCCACCATCGAAGGTGTAGGATTGATCTGGACCCGTGATAGCCCATCCTATACCTGCCTTTAGAGACGCCTTCTCCCAGGAGCCATCAATCTGCAGAATAAAATTAGCAAACCCAGATTTATCTTCTCCTAGATGGACATGGTTAAAACCCGGTGGCAAACCAGTCGTATTTCCATTCTCTTCAAACCCATTTGTGTCTTGCCCCCTATTCTCTTAGAGAAGATCTCACGCTCTTGGGTAGCAATATTAACCATTTCTGTAACCGTTGTGATGGTTACGTCGATTCCCTTGAAGACTCTTGCATTCCTAGACTTCCAAAGACCCCACAAAACAGCAATAAATGTGGTGATCCGGTTGCTACGCCTACCATCCTTCCCGTAAAAGAGCAGGATACAGTGTTGGATCCAATTTCTTAAAGATTGGACACCAGTGAAATCAGAGCAAAGAACAGTAGGGTAGGTCTCCCAAACTGCTTTTGCTAGAGAACATAATCGGAACAAATGTTGGCTATCTTCCAAGTCCGTGCTACACAACTCACACATTGCATTAACTTGTATGCCCCGGTTGGCCAAGTTTACCTTTACCGCTATACCATTATGAAGGAGTTTCCACATGAAGATTTTCCATTTTGGTTGAATGTTCAACCTCCAAATTAGCTTTGCAAACTCTTCATCTTTGGTGGAGAAAGAGAAACTGTTGATCTCTTGGTTTCTCGAGAGAAAGTAGTAGCCAGTTTTGACACTGTATTTGCCAGAGGGGTGGTATTTCCAGTACAGATAGTCATCTTTTGGCTCAGACGGGAGTTCCATAGAAAGGATTTCTTTGGCACTATTCCAATCAAAACATTGTCTAATCTTACCCGGATTCCAAGAAGCATGATTCCTGTCAATGAAGTCACTTACCATCCACCCCATGGAGGCTCCGAGCGTTTGGTTAGAGTTTGCAATTGGAATTCGCCCTTTCACCCAAGGAGTGCTAATGGTCTTTATATTTTCCCCGTTGCCAACCTTCCAAGCGAAACCTTCCTTGAAAGAAGAAACCACCTTTTGTAATCCTGATCTTCCCATAGATGGATTCCCTGTCCTCCTTAACGGTGTCATGATGTTACAAATACCACAAGGTTGGAAACTAGTATGCACCTTTGATATAAGAAGCTGAGGGTTGAGGTGCATTCTAGAGGCTTCTTTGAACAGCAGGGCATCATTGAGATTTGAAATGCCTTGGACACCTAAGCCCACCATACTTTTCGGGAGTTGGACTACCTCCCTTTTCACCCAGTGTATACCCTTATTCCCGTTGTTCGACCACCAAAATTTTGTAATGACGGAATCAATTTTATTGACAATGCTTTGGGGAAGTTTTAGGCACTTCATGACATGAGCCGAGATACTCACCAGTACCGTGTTGATAAGAATTAATTTTGCAGCCTGTGAAAGACGTAAGGAAGCCCAGGAGACAATTTTCTCCGTTACTTTGTCCACCAGATATTGGAAAGATAGTTTTTTCTTTCCCTGTATATCAATTGGAGCACCCAAATGCACGCCCACATTTGTGATATCAGACATAGACAGAATTCTTTTTAGAGAAACTTTAACATCTTCTGGCATACCTGTGGAAAATTTCACAAGAGACTTCTAAAGGTTTAACCTCTGTCCTGAAGCCTTCCCAAACCGATGGAGAATATCCCGAACACACTGACAAGAGTCCTCAGTTGCCCTGAAAAAGAGCATAGCATCATCTGCAAAGAAAAGGTGGGAGATAGCAGGTGATCTCCTGGAGACCTTTAAACCCTTTATCTGGTTTATATCTTCAGTCAGAGTCAGCATTCTTGATAGGATATCCATACAGAAGAGAAAAAGATAAGGGGATAGAGGATCCCCTTGCCTCAATCCGCACTTTGGGGCAAAGGGCCTAGAGGTGTGCCTGTTGATGACAGTTTTATAGCTTACTGTAGATACACACTATGATATCATCCTTATCCAGTGATTAGAGAATCCATATTTGTTAAGAATCTTGGTGAGGAAGAGCCAATCTACCCTGTCATAGGCCTTAGACATATCTATTTTTACTGCAGCGAGGTTCGAGTTCTTTTTTGAGTTGATAAGATGCATAAGCTCATGACTCATGAGGATATTGTCTTCCATATATCTACCAGGGATGAAGGCGTGTTGATAATCCGAAATTATACAAGGGAGCACCAACTTCATCCTATTTACCAGACACTTAGAGATGCATTTATATATAGTATTGCAGAGGCTAATAGGTCTGAAATGGTTAGCACTTTCCAGTACCTTCACTTTCGGGATGAGAACAAGGAGTGATTGATTCCATTCCTTTAGCATATTGCCAGACCTGAGAAATTGTTGCACGCTATCAATGACAAGTTGACCTACCTCCTTCCAGTACAGGTGGAAGAAGTCCGCAGTGAAACCATCCGGGCCCGGAGATTTAGACCCGTGCATATCAAACATTGATTTCTTTATTTCCTGGTGAGAGAAAGGCATATCAAGCCATTCTCGATCCTCCATACTGATAGAAGGAATGTGCAGTTGTCGAAGAAGTAAGTCTATGTCTTCCCCATGATTATTATCAAGAGTTGGGCTAAAAATTTCCTTAACCGAATTGAGGACCAATTGCTCCACTTCATCATGCCCTTCCACCCATGTATCTTCATCATTTTTAAGGGTAAGAATTTCCTTTTGTAGTTGTTTTTTCTTCACCCTCCTGTACATCAAAGTGGTTGGGCAGTCTCCATATTTAATCCAATTGGATTTCATTCGTTGTCTCCAGTACTCAAAATTAAGCTTGCATTCTGGAATAATTGAATTTATTTGATTGATGTAGTGTTCCCCTTTCTGGATCGAATCAATATTATCCCCCACACTACCTAACTCTTTCGAAATGTTCCTCCAATTAACACCCCAGCTCTTCTTATTCATCAAACGCCAATTTTGAAGATTATATCTCACAATACTTAATTTTTTCGAGAGCCTAAACATACAAGATCCATTCATATCAATTTTCCAAGAATCATGAACAATTGTATTTACCTCCGGAATTTGTAGGCACCAATTTTCAATTTGGTAAGGACGGTTCGACTTTCTTGTGATCGGATTGGAGTAATAAGTGATAACTGCAAGATCCGAACATATAATCGGCTCATGAATTATTCTTCCCTCCGGAGTATGATTAAACCATTCTCCGGTAATGTACGCTCTATCCAGTCTTTCTAGAATGAGTTCGTGTTGTTCCCGTTTATTACTCCAAGTAAAACGCGGCCCCGAGAACGGAACCTCCGTGACATCACTGCTTAGTCTCCAATCTAAGAAGGCATCACGTCCCCTAATATTGCTTGCTCCACCCAATTCATCAAACCCACTCTCAACTTGATTAAAGTCACCAATTATAAGCACATTTTTGTACTCATCCAGAAGTAGTTGCAAAAATTCCCAAATGACTCTTCTATTTTCTACTAGAGGTTCCCCATAAAAGAAAATCACATACTTAAAATTTCCATTAATTTCAGAAATTTTACATAGGATAATATTTTTTGACGAGTACAAACATTCAACAACTTCACTGCACCAACTTAAAACTAAGAGACCACCACTACTACCTTCCGAATCAAACCCAAAAATTGCGGTTGGTCTTAAGCAATCTAACTTAGAAGCGGCATTACTATAGGCCGTTTTTGTTTCCGAAATAAACATAAACATAGGAAATTTGTTTTGGTAGATCCACACAAGATAGGGGATTGCAAGGGAATGTGGATCGTTTAATCCCCTACAATTCCATGCTACAATATTCATGGAGCACTCGGGGGCTGGAACGGTGCAGCCACCTCACCCATCAATGAACCCTTTACCGATTCCAAAATGGTCACCTGTAAGTCAATATCCATATCATCTTGCGTTATCCTAAGGTGTGAGGTAACCTCCTCACTCTTGTGCCTTTTGCACGACTCAGCAGAAGAAGAAGACAGTTCTTGTGGCCTTTTTAATTTCGCCCTTCGCATCAGATCCTCATCAATTTCGACACCAAAATCCATAGCCATACTCGGGTCAGAGATGGCCTTCGAGGCAAATTTCTTTTTTCCTTTTTTATCCTTTAACCATATAGTGAACCCTCCCTTTTCCGACCATCTGTGCAAGCGTTTAAGTCTGCTTCTTCGCCCCAATTGTGAGCATCTTCATGTAGTCTCACTGAATCCCCATCACAAGAGTGTGGGTTATGTTTTGTTGCTTCAATGATTCTCTGTCTTGAGTTAGCACTATCATCATAATTAAATAACTCAGTAAAGTTAAAAGAGCTAAAAGGGGATACCGGTGAGTTAGGGGGGTCGAACTCCGTGAGAGGGAGGTTCGGTAGCCCCGCAATTTCAGCGATGGTGAGCCTTAGGAATGGCGCAGTAGAGGCTTGAGTGAGGGGGAAAATTCTGCGGGGATCGGTGTTTCTGGCATTGTTAATACCCAGAGAGAGGATAGTGCTTGCTTCAATCATACGCGCATACTCTTCATCAGTTAAGTGCGGAGATTCAACTCTGGTAGTTGCCATAATAGAGGGGCTGAGAAAACCCGGTTGTGGCAGCGAGGAAGGAGCAGGAGCCTAAACTCTGTTTCCCAGAAAACTGGAGTTATTGAAGCCAAACTCAACAGGGGAGCAAGCCCAATCAGAGATGCCTAATGTGTGAAAGAGAGAGCCTGGTCCCCCACCAAGTTGCGGCCTTCTTTGCTATGCTGAATATTCACCTACTTCGAAAGTGGATCTTTCGACCATAGGTCTCTGTTGGGCAGCAGATGGTTCATCCACTTCGAAGGTGGATCTTGCAGCATTAGCCCGTTGTTGCGCAGCAGAGGGTTTGCCCACCTCGTAAGTAGATCCCCGAAAAATAGGGCGAGGAAGGGGAGGAATGTACTCGTCACTTGAATGAGAAGATTGCTTAGTTTGAGTAAACTCCGCATAAGGATCATCACCTAATCCGAATCTTCTCCCTGGAGACAAAGTTAGATCGACCTGCATTGGCAACAAATCACTGTTTGCAAGCTCAGATTCATCAGATAATTCCTCCTCTCCGGTGTGAAAATGTTCACTATTGTCACTATCTGGAGAGTAAGGGGGATTTTCATGAAATCTACCATCATCATAATCCATATTCTCATGAGGGACTCTGTGATAGATGATATTGTCTTTTGGTTCCTCTAGGCGCCTTAGATCTGCGCTAGTGTTGCGGAACCTGTAAGTATCCGGCAAACCACAAATATAATTAGTATAATACGGATATTCAGAGGGGCCATACAATACCCGTATGCCGTCAGCTTGGACTTCATCAAGCCTGCTTCGCACTCTCCTCCTAGCTATCGTTGGGTGAAGCGTACATCTAGCCGTGGAGTGGCCAGCACAGCCGCAAAGCTTACGGAACTTGAATACCCCTTCATAGCGCAAATACACCCAAATAACCATATCTCCTTCCAAGGGGATAAAGCAACCAGGAATGAGAGGTAGGGAGATGTCAATCAACATCCTAGCCCGGAGTTCAGCTTGGAGAGGGAGGTTCCCGTTGTTGTGGTCAATTTCCTCTATATAGCCCACATGTCCGAAAATTTGACGAGCCCACCCAGGAGTGAGGTAAGCTAGGGGCAAGCCGTAGACTCTTACCCACATCCTGGTCATGGAAAAGCTCATCTGATGCGGCACAAAATCAGCCTGGTGCCTTCTAAAGTTGATGATTCTGCCATCTATTATAGCAGTGCTGACTCGAATGAGCCCTTCTTGGTCGTCTCTATTCGAGCATTCAAAAAGATAGTATGGGCCAGATCTATGGACTCTTAGAGTAGCTATCTTGAGGAGTTAGTAAAAGTAGTGTCAAAAAATGATCGATTTAAATTTTAGACCATGTCTTTCTACAATATTTTTTTATATATTTTTTTTTACTGAAAATAAAAATTTTGATTACTTTTTTTTATATCTAATTATAGTGCTGAAATAATTTAGACTTCTTTTATGAGTTTTTTTTTTAGCTGCTTTCTTCGATTTTTTTTTTCGTCCTTCTTCTCGTGAAGAGTGGGAGGTATATATATTGGAGCAAATGGAAGATAAAATACAAAATACAAAGAATATACTCTACTACGAAATAAATACGTACGAATTCAAGAGTTAGGTAGAAATTGTACCCAAATTTCGTCTTAATGAGGTAGAGGACAAATAGAATTGGCCTACTACTTCATGCAAAACTTAATTACTAATTTAACTGAACAAATGACAATATTATTAATGACTAAAAATAATTAAAAGTACTAATATAATTTTTATACAATTGTTAATTACTACCTTCTTTCGAAGAGTGTATTTACTCTTCGTATTTCAAACTTACCATAGTTAAACAAGACTATTACAAAATAACAAGGAGAAAAATGTTGTTTTCCAATGATTGTGGATGATGGTCATATCACCTTTCCGTTTAGGAAGAAACACAGCTCAGTGATACAACGTATTGTCATATCACACTATTTTCTGATTTTCGTTGCTAGATTACAACCATGGCTTACCATTTTATTTTTCTGTAGGGATTTGACATATCAAATGAGTGGTAATAACGGAGGTATCTTTGCTTAGAGCCACTCTTTCATTGTCAAATGTTGCCTTCATTGCAATAACCCGGAAGAGAAATAACATGCATACTTACACTTGTTATTTCTGAGTGTATGAAACAGAGAAAAGATGTGAGTCATGACATTATAGCTATAATGGTGTTTTGGTGAGGAAGGAAGAAGATGAAAAATGGAATAGTAGTACGTTATTAACAAAGCAAAATGGTGGGATTTTAACAAGTTGAATTAAGAAAGTTAAACAAAGACAAAAAAAAAAAAAAAAAAGTATACAAATTGGGGGAAGTAGTTGTGACTTTTGCATTGGTATTAGATTAGTCTGCATCCATTACATGCATGCTTTGATGTTAATGCATGTTTTTGCATTATCAAAGTGTGCCCATTTGTCTTTGGTGATTTGTTTTTTTTATTTTTTTTTTTTTTTAAGATGATTGAAAATATTAGAATAATAATAATAACAATAGGATACATAAAATCAGTATTACTAAACTTTTATCAGGGGTTAGAAAGTGATACTATAGAAACGGTGACGGTTTTAAAATTGTACAGATTAAAGGGTCATTATTTGATACTCTCGATCAGGATATGTCAAACGGAATAATTGTTACATATGTTAGTGGTAACAACATTGTTTTTATTTCATTTTATTTTTAAAAGATACACTTACTACTATTATTAGAGTAAACGATTACACGATTGAGATACGATAAAAATGCGGATAAGATTTATCCCCTATAAAAGGGAGATTTCCCTTATCCAAAATCACCCTTTACTCAAAAAAACACAACCCTAGCCTTTTCCTCTTCGGTTTCCATGGCTCCCAGCAACCAAAACCGTCAAGCTCCATCTCCTTTCGACGAGCATTTTCGAGTGCTAAATTTATATCTAGCTTTGTTTATGGCGTTAGTGGTACTACTAATGGCGTTAATGATTTTCATAATCATGAATAAATGACGACTTGAAGTTTTCGGCACGGAGTGTACAAGGTTCGAATTGTGTTACAAATTAACCTCGTGTTTTGTTCGTAAATTAGGGGTACAAATTGTAAGGGTTTTGTATACTCCAAAATTATAAAAAAACACTACTTGAATTTGTCTCTTATGTCCAATTTATTGTGGTTGTTGTTTAGTAAAATTAAAGTTGTTATTATAATTATGGAATTATACAAAATTTATTAGTTAATTGAAAGTAAAAAGAAAAGTATGGAAAATAAGGGATCAAAATTTGGTGTCTACAGTCCCATTATCTAGCTAGAACAAGTTGGGATAAGTGTGCCTTCCCTTGGGGTAAGGAGGTTTGAGTAGCATATTCGTAATTTGAGGAATTAGAATATCGCATTCATGGCAAAGTTGGGATGGAAGATCATTAATGATCCCTCTAAGCTTTTGGTTAGAATTTTTAGAACCCGCGATATTTATATAAAAAAATTAAAAAAAAAAATCATTTCTCAATTGTTTTCCCAATCCTTCGGACTCTCCTCTTTGGAAAGGTATTCTTAAAGAAAAGGACTTACTTTTACAAGGTCTTTCTTATAGACTGGGCAATGGGGAGGAAATTTGTCTTTGATATCATCATTAGGTTGGGGAAAAGCCTAATGATCTGTAATTGACAAACTATTCCAGATTTTATTGCTATTGGCAAGCCAACAAAATTATAAGAAATGGTAGGTGGGACCTTATCTGAATCAAACACATTATTTCTGATTTTCTATGCTCCCAAATTGAGAACATTCCTCTCTCTACTATTGCTTGTGTTAAGGATTCGATTCGTTAGGGGAAAGAATTAAACAACCAATTTTCGATCAAATCTGCCTATCATATATGCTCCAATTTTCACTCTCACCCTTCTTTTCCTAATGTAAGTTGAAAAAAAATCTGGAGTATCAAAGCCCCCTATAATAATAAAATGTTGCTTTGGAATGCTATCCACCAAATCTTACCTATTGCCTTTATTCTTAACTTAAGTATCTCCAATTTCAACCCTAGCCTATTTGTACAAGATGCAATCTCTCTAATGAAAGCCATCTCCATATTTATTGTGATTGCATTAACTCAAAAAATTTGTGCTTGAGAATTTTGCAAGGGAATAAGTTGGATATAGAATCCTTTATAACACTTTATACAATATAGATTGGGTTGATTGGATCAACTATAATCTACGTTTGAGTGGTAACTGAAAACTATTTTTGTAGTAGCATTGTGGCATATTTGGAGAGTGAGGAACCAGGCTATTTTTCAGCTTTCTTTGCTCCATCCTATTACTCATTTTAACAACTTTATGGTGGAATTGGTTGCGACTTTAAATGCCTTTCAAGGTACAAGAAAAAAAAAACCAACAACAAATGGCTTAATAAAGCTGAATGTGGACGGGGCTTGGAGGAGTACTAGAATAGCTGGAGCGGGGGGAGGGGGAGTTATCTGTCCCAAACTGTGCTAGGAATGTCTATGAGAACAACATCATTGATAGCCGCAACACCTGAATTTGTTCTTGTGCTTGGTGTTCCCTGTCAAAGCTTGAATGATAACCTAATTACTTATGTGGATCAGGCTAATTGACAAATATTTGTAAATTAGTCCACTTTTGTGGGCCATGGTCGATTAGGATAAATTTTATAATAATGCAAAGTACAGACTTCAAATGTGAGAAACTACCGACATGACATGACTTTGGATATTTGAGACGGAGGTAAGTAACGTAGTTGCCCAAATTTTATTCCTTAAAAATTAGAAAAAAAATTATCTTACTCCTGAATTCTCATCTAGATCTTCATCGTAACACATAGCATATTCTAGAGAAGAAGATGATCCTCTAAGAAAATAAAAATCGGACGGCATATACAGTAACAACCACAACAACTTCAATAAAAACGCATTCGTTTCAATTACCCATTCTCCATGATAACCATTAAAGACACAAGTTAGACAGAACTTACATGGGGATTGCTCAGAGCAACTCAATTACGAGTGTTGTTCGACTTATTTGAATTGCTCAAAGGAATTGAATTTCGAGGCAGTATAACTTATGTGAATTGCTGGGAGGAATTGAATTTTGACTTTTACTTGAGTTCAAATTTGGATATTGCTTGTTGAATATTGAATTTGAGGAATTTCTCCAATTTAGGGTTTGAAAAGGGAAAGTGATTCACGAAATACAAATGGAGGTTACGTTATTGACCAACTCCAACGTTAATTAACATTTTGCCATGTCATTCAGCCGTTTGAGGAATATCTCGCTATAGTTACAAATTTACCCCCAACTAAATAGTTGAAAAGACTAAAATAACCCCTGATTGGATGAGTTTATCTCTTAGCCTGATGAACTTGTATTTCCTCGTAGTTTGGGTATGGAGGACAAACTTGTGTTATTGTTTGGTTAGTAGGATTATGTTTGAACTTGTACTGTTGGATTATTATTAATTAAGCAATGAACTTCCCTTTTCCTTAAAATAGATTGAGGGCCTATTCGCATTGAGTGAATGAGCTGAACTGAAATGGAATGAATATTTTATAAAAGAAGGAAATTAGGAGCTGAACTAAACTTAACTTAACTGAACTGAACTTATTAGAGCTGAACTGAACTGAACTAAAATGAACTGAACGGAACTGAACTAAAATGAACTGAATGGAACTGAACTTATTAGAGGTGAAATGAACTGAATTGAATTGAAAATAATCATGTGAGAATAGCCCTTAGTGTATACAAAAGTTTTCATTTCAACTACCATTAATTTCAAAAATCGGCTTATGAAATCATCTAGTCACTCTAAAACCTGTAACATAAATGACTAATCTTATACTTTACTCCTCTAAAACTTACGATAATGATTTACAACTTATCTAAATTATAAACGGTCCAAGTCTCCAAGACAAGTCTAACAGTCTAACACCTCTACTTATCCTGCAACACTCTCTCTTCCCGCCTTCTCTCCCTCCCTATCTCTCTCTCTCTCTCCTCCAACCATGGCAGAAAAACTAGCTATACCACTTCTTCCAGCTGCTCCTTTTCCTAATACACCCAACTACCGCCACCTTTCTCTCTCCTCAACACCACCCCCACCATCAGTTCTGCCACAATCACCATCCTCTGTTCCCCTTAAACCCATCATTAAACAACCCCAAGACTCAAACTTTGTGAACACCCGTCATCGCAATAGCAGTGCCTTAAACCCATCTCTTCTTCGTCTTCCTAGACGGCATCGCCGCCTCGGTAAACACCGGGACCCTAACAAGGGTAAACCCTGGACTCATCATGGTCTATCCCCTCAAGGTCAGCAAATTTTTCAAATTCTTATCGGTACTGATTTACATTCATCTAATTTAGGCTGTATTTTGAATAGATTGTTTGAAAATCAAGGAATTAGTGAAAATCAGGAAGTGGGTATTCTTGGTTTGGGGTCTGTGAATGCTGACATTTTGGGGATAATTAAGGGTTTAGGGTTTTTGGGTAAGTGTGATTTGGCTTTCAGGGTGTTTAATTGGGTTCGTAGTAGGAATGATTATCAAAATTTGTTAGATGGGCCTGTTGTTGCTGCTATGATTAGTATTCTTGGTAAGGAAGGCCGTGTATCGATTGCGGCTTGCTTGTTTAATGAGCTAGATAAGGATGGTTTTGACATTGATGTTTATGCTTATACTGCAATGGTAAGCACGTATGCTAGTAATGGACGATATAGGGAGGCAGTGACCATTTTTAAGAAAATGGAGGATGCTGGGTGTAAACCTACTTTGGTTACTTATAATGTGATTTTGAATGTTTATGGAAAGATGGGTATGCCTTGGATTACAGTTGCTAAAGTTATAGACAATATGAAGCGTGATGGAATCGCTCCTGATTTGTATACTTATAATACACTTATAAGTTGTTGTCGTCGTGGGTCTTTGTATGAGGAGGCAGCTGAAGTTTTTGAGGAGATGAAGTTAGCTGGTTTTGTGCCTGATAATGTCACTTACAATGTCTTGCTGGATGTTTATGGAAAGTCTCGGCGTCCTGAAGAAGCAATGGGGGTTTTGCGGGAGATGGAGATTTGTGGATATGCACCGAGTGATGTGACTTTTAATTCCTTGATTTCTGCTTATGTGAGGGGTGGTTTATTGAAAGAGGCTATGGTGATTAAAGCTCAGATGGTTAAGAAAGGGATAAAACCTGATGTTTTTACTTACACTACTCTCTTTTCTGGTTTTGAGAAGGCTGGTAAAGATGAATGTGCAATGAAGGTCTTCGAGGAGATGAGAAATGCAGGTTGCAAACCCAATATTTGCACCTTTAACGCCCTAATTAAAATGCATGGTAATCGCAAGAGGTTTTCGGAAATGATGCGGACATTTGAGGACATGAAGAATTGCAATTGTTCCCCTGATATTGTCACTTGGAACTCTCTTTTGGCCGTATTTGGACAGAATGGAATGGATACTGAAGTCTCTAGTCTGTTCAGTGAGATGAAGAAGGCAGGTATTATACCAGAGCGGGATACTTTCAACACCTTAATAAGTGCTTACAGTCGATGTGGCTCCTTTAAACAATCGTTGTCTGTTTATAAGATGATGCTGGAAACTGGTGTCATGCCAGATCTTTCAACCTACAATGCTATTTTGGCAGCATTAGCTCGAGGTGGTCTTTGGGAAGAATCTGAAAATGTCCTTACTGAAATGAAAAGTGGTCAGTGTAAGCCTAATGAGCTAAGCTACTCTTGTTTGCTTCATGCTTATGCTAATGGAAAGCAAACTAAACGTATGTGCACTCTTGCAGAAGAGGTGTATTCTGGGGAAATTACACTTCATCCTGTGCTACTGAAAACGTTAGTTCTTGTCAATAGCAAAACTGGCCTTTTAGTGGAAACGGAACGTGCTTTTCAGGAGTTGAGGAGGAGAGGCTATTCTATGGATATAACAACTTTGAATTCCCTGGTATCTATATATGGCCGCCGACAGATGGTCAAAAAAGTAAATGAAATTTTGGATTTCATGAAGGAGAGTCAGTTTACTCCTAGCTTGATAACGTATAATTCTCTGATGTACATGTATAGCCGGTCTGGATCGTTTCTTAGAGCAGAAGAAATTCTGAAAGAAATTGCTAGTAATGGACTGCAGCCTGATATCATTTCATATAATACTGTTATATATGCTTATTGCAAAAATGGTCGATTGAGAGATGCTTCTAGAATTTATTCTGAGATGAGGAGCTCTGGGATTATTCCTGATGTAATTACTTACAATATTTTCATTGCATATTATGCTGCAAATGATATGTTTCTGGAGGCCATTGATATGATTCGCTGTATGATCAACCATAATTGTAGACCTAACTCAAACACATACAATTCTGTAGTCGATTTTTTCTGTAAGTTTAATCGTCCAGATGAGGCTGCTATGTTCGTAAATAACCTTCGCAAACTTGATCCTTATCTTTCAAGGGATGAAGAATTAAGGTTATTGGATCGAATAAGGGGTAGATATTATAAATAAGCTCGTCAACCTTCTGATGTCCTGGTGTTTGAGAGGCTTAAATGTTTGTAAGTTTTGGCGCTAGTCATAAGATCAGTTGGACAAGAGGCTGACTTTTTTCATTGGACTGCAGATAAAAATTTTAGCTTCTGCCGTTCCTAAGGTATCCTCTTCTAGTATATGCTATTTTATACAGGCTTGTTATATTTTTTTTTTTAGTGAATCTGAACACTAGTATTTCAGGTGGATGCAAAAGTCAATTTAAGAGACCTTTTGTTACTCTTTCTATGATCTAGAGTGGAATTCTTGGACTGCAGCTCTGCATATGTGCCTTCTAACCTGGTATGTATGTTCATCATCTATTCCCATTTGAAATTCTTGTGCCAATGCTGTTATATGTGAAAAATAATAAAACATAAACATGTAATTCGCTGCAGAACTGTGCACGATGCAAGACTGTGTTGAGCTACTTAAAAGCTTTTACAAGAGAATGTACTTACATAGAACACACGTTATTCTCTCCATATAACACATCCAATCATTATATCCATTTTTTTTTCCCACTTTCTACATTATTATGTGAGATTCTTTCAAAGTAATACTGCATGGGTGAGAACCAAAATCTTATCTCAGGTACCCTTAGGCCTTTGCCATATCAAACACAACATCCTAACTTCAGAAAAGGAACCCAACGAAAAACAGGGAATGATGCAAGAGTATCGTTGAAACCTACGGATAGTATGAGGTACGACTATATGACCCATTAGTGGCATTTAAGGCTCCAATCTACTTTTTGGATAGATTCTCTATCTTATATTGTGGCTTAGGTGTTAATAAAAGTGATCCTTGTGTCTTAATTTTACAATTGATGGTTGAAGATGTAAGCATGGAAACAAGGATGAAAAGAAAATGCTTGTACTTGATCAAAAATGGATAACTTAAATTCAATTAGCCATATCTTCTTAACTACTAGGAATTTTCAAGCAATTCAAATTGGAGATTAAAGTAGAATCCAAGAGCTTTCCAACGACAGGTCATACGCCCAATTTTAATAAGAAAAAAGAAGTTATGATTGTTTGAATTTGAGTTGTTCAGCCAGTTGCTTGGAGCGCCCACTCCTCCAAATGGATTGCCTGTTCCTTTGGTCGTCGGTTCAAGTTTTTGGCATACGCAAGGAGCGGCCGCTCCAACCCCCTATATCGGGCGGATGAAATTATTTCCTTATTTAGCTAGCTTTAATCTTGGCCATTCATTTTGTAATCCAAAGGATGCAATTTAGGAACTCTAGGTTTGTTTGTATTGCCCTATATATAGGGTTAAGCTTGTTGTTTTGAATAATATTTTGCTTAATTTTGAAATCAATGAGATTTTCTCTCTCCTTAACCTTGGTGATTATTCGATATCTTTGTGATTGCTACTTTGTAATCTTTGTGGCTACATCTTAATCCTAGTTTTACTTGGTGTTGGCTTTGCTTAAGAACCCTTATTTTATAGATTTTAGTGATTTTTGAGATAGGCTTATCTTGTGTTGTTGCATTGAAGTTGTTGTTAGTTGATATGTTCCTCTTTCCATGGTTATTTCTTATCAGGGAATAGGTATCAACAAATTTAACTTTTGTCAGTTTCATTGGACCTAAGTTTGTAAAGAAGTTAGCATTGTTTATATAAGCATTCCAATCTACCACGAGCTAAAGCTCCCCTTATTATTAGGCTATGGTAAGCTTGTTTGTAAGGAGAATGAAGTTATGAAACAAAAGAGATGTAGATGGGAACCAAATTGGATTCATAGAGAAGCACAAAGAGCCTATTATTATTTATACCATAAGGGGATAATAATTTAGGGACACCAAAGGGACAATTAAGGACCCATCCAAGCTATTATTTTCCCCTTGATCTCTTAGGGATGACTCCAAGGCCATAGCTGTGATTGAAATACAATCTTTTATTCAAGGGCAGTTGCATAGATTTGATATGACGTGCACTGACATGCCCTTACTTGTGATTGATTCACTTATTGACAAAGTTTAGTAATCAAATAGCCATGCAAGTAACAATATTATAAACCCTAAAATAATAAAATAAAGTGATCTACACAGCTTTGATAATCATGCTAACCAAATTTTGATATCGATTCATGGTAGATAAGCTAGTGTCAAGTATCTCCCTAACTATTTTGTAAGATTATTTGGCATTTTCTTTTTCTTTTTTGGCATCATAGGTGGATCATCTAGGACCAAAAAATAGTCTATGGTCATTTGTCATGCCAAGAAATTAGACAAGACCCCAATGTGAGTCTAATATGATCAGTGTCAATTTTCAAGGTCCTTGTGGTTGCCTCTTTCCCTAAAGGATGTTAATTAAGGCCAGAATTGCAACTGAGAAATAATATTGTGACCTCAAAGTCACATCGAGCCTTTTGATGAATTAGCAGAGTTTAGTGGTATGAGAGAAAGATCTTTTGGATCTCTAGGGCTCAGTGATGAAGAGCTGGGGAAACAAGCCAGATATTGTGCTACAATGGGGAAATATCTATGGAGCCTAACCTGCTTTGACCTAGACAAGCCAGGCCTGATCAATCAAATGGCAAAGAATATGTGTCACCTCCAGAACTCTCCATACTCTCTGGAATTCTCACTCTTTTGAATTTAATGTCCATATCTTGAACATCTTTCCTCAGACATCACCTTAATTAATCTTTTTTAAATTCGCTAAAGCAAGTATGACTTTGAAGTGAATCCTGTACTCTGTCATTGAAGATGGTAGTGTCAATGAAATTAGTACAATTCATCCTAGCTATCAGGCATTCGCCTATTGAGGTTTAGGAATATTATAGGATTCTGTTGCAGAGGTGATGGGCTTAATGCAATCTCTTTGTTCAATTTAAGAATGCTGATGGGAGTTTCACCAAGGTGGCCAAGTCGGCAAGGTTTGAAGTTTGAACAAGTATTTGTCAAAAAATCTGCTAAGCTGTCTCATGATGGATTTTAAGTTCTGAAGTTGATGACAAAAGTTTGCTCGTGGGGAAGTCTATGCTCAGGCTCATTGTCTGTATGCCTAATAAAAATGTCAATATCTTTGTTGAGGATGTGGTTCTCTATATTAAATTTAAGTTGATACGCATGCTCTTGTCCTGCCTCAGACTTTAATTTGGCAACAGATTTGATTTTATCTTACTTTGGCATTTGAGGGGGAACCGATATCTTTGCTTAGTTAAGATTAGAGTCTGGATTTTTTTTCGATTCAAGTGTAGCAAAGGGGGCTTCAAGCAGCATGTTGTGCAGTTTAGTTAGCAAGGAGCATTAAGGTGGCTGATACATGGGGAAAAGAGCTGAGGTCTGTTATATAAACTAATTCTGCTAAGATGGATCAAAGAATTAGAGAATCCGGATTCGGAGACTAACTATGATGGCCATGCATTTTAAGGCTTTTTTCCATTGGATTTAATGTTCTTTTCACATATAAATGTTTACCTTATTCACTTTTGAAGACATTTTGCTGTTTCTCTTAGTACTTTTCTTTAATACTGTTTATTAAAACAGCTTTATAATGCCCCCTATTTCTTCATAATGGGAGAAGGATTAACCATTCTTCACTGATGGATGTGTTTCTCTGGTATAATCTGCATTTTAAATCGGTTTTTTCTATTATTTATATTTAAATTATAAGGGATGTCTAATAATAATTTTAAAAATGTTCTAACATGGCTGAATGATAAAGTGTGATTATCTTTCCCTAGTTGTGAATATTCTTTAATTAGGGGAATAAAATGAATTGAACAAGTAATCACATGCTTTGTCTTCACTAATTATTGTGAGTTGACATTCATGTCTTGAAACGAAACGTATACATTGCTTCACTGCTTCTAATTTGCTGGTAACATAAATAGCTGAAAATGGAATGTCAAATGGTAGTATAATATTCCTTCCTCTTTATTAATTTAATTACGTACCCAGTAAAAAAGAAAAAGGGGGATATATAATGTCATAGATTGGGGAATTTTCAGTCTAAAATTCTCTTTCTACCATTTGGAAATACCTTCTGGTTGAATTCTTCAAGATTTTAATTAAGATACAACAACTTTATTCCAAATTATTTGTATCATTTTGATTAGACATGTTTATCTACAAATGCATTACTTTGGCCGTTAATTATTTAATTGTGAATAGTGTTATGAAGAATTCAAAAGTATCTTACATTCTACTCCTCACGTATTATAATAAATACTTACTAGTATGTATTTGTATTAACATAAATATTATGGTCAAAATAGTATATGTGAATAGCGATAAAAGTTATGATGATGCGAATAATTTGGTATGGAATGGGTATTATAAACACAGGATATTACATACGGACTTTTAATTTGCAGCTATAATCATATCAATAGGGTGTTGTGTAGCTAAATTGTTGGATATGAAGTACGAAGTAATATAACAATGTGCAGCTATGTTACTCGGACTCTTTCATTTACCTACCTCACGTGTCCGTGTCGACACGACTCGTGCCGGACACCGACACCGACACTTGGACAGTTCATTTTTAACTAAAACACAATTTTTTTCAAGAAAATGGGCGAGTCCGATACTTGGACACCCGTGTCTAATTGGACACTTCATCCGAGTCCAAGTAACAGAGATGTGCAGTTCATTTTGTCATTAAATCTCTTGATGAGGGTTTGCCTTCTGTATGATATTCTTTAGCTTGTTAGTTTTAAGTATGAACTGGTTCAAGTAATTTTTCTAATACTTATGACATGAATGCTGACTATTATGAAACAGAGCCGTGAAGGGTTGTATATGGATTTTTTTTTTAATTTTGTTTATGATAATACACCTAGTCAACAGCTGCCTCAGGACCCGTTTTATATGCCTCTCTTTGCTTTTTTTTCCTTCATTGTCTTATTCTCTGTCTCCGTGTTCTCTCATATAATTTCAGGGTTTTCTGCTATTGAATTTGCTCCATGAATTGGTGGTGGCTAGGAGCTATTGGTTCCGCTTTACACGTATGTCGCCTTATTTTCGATCTTTTCAGTGTTTGTTTAAAATTTCAATTCATTTTAGTACATGTTTGCTTTATGTTGCACCTCTAAATCTTTTATTTGTGTTTGTCTGGTCTTTGCAGAGAATAGAGAGTGGAGATATTCCATCAAAATACCATAATGTAGCACTTGTAGTTGGCGTGACTGGCATCTCTGGTAATAGTCTTGCAGATATCCTTCAGCTATCTAGTACACCCGGTGGCCGGTGGAAGGTCTATGGTGTTGGGCGAAGGCGTCAACCTGAATGGCAGTTTCACCACAACCATGTTCAATATATCCAATGTGATATGGTTGATCCTGAAGCTACCCAAGCTAAACTTTCACATCTGAGTGATGTAACTCATGTATTCTACGTTGGATGGGTTACCAAATCCACTGAAGAGGAAACTTACGAAGAGAACGGCAGAATGCTGCGTAATGTTCTTAATGCGGTCATACCTAATGCGCCAAATTTGCAGCATATCTGTCTTCAAACAGGTCAGAAATATGCCCTACCTTCTTTGGACTCATCGGCTGAAATTCAAAATGAACCTCAATTTGTTGAGGAGTTGCCCAGGGAAGATACTACCGATAGTTATTATGCTATGGAGGATATATTGGCTGAGGAGGTGCAGGCAAAGGAGAATCTGACGTGGTCAGTCCATCGACCTGCTGTTATGCATGGGTTTTCTCCTTACAGTACTAGGAACATAATTGGTTCGCTCTGTATTTATGCCACTATATGCAAGCATGAAGGACAACCCTTAAAGTTTCCAGGCAACCAGGCAGCCTGGGATGGTTACTCAGAGGCTGCAGATGCGGATTTAGTGGCTGAGCAGCAAATATGGGCGTCACTTCATCTCGAAGGCAAGAGGCAAGCATTCAACTGTAGCAACGGGGATGTGTTCAAGTGGAAAGATCTGTGGAAGATTTTGGCTGACGAATTTGAATTAGAAACCGTGGAATTTGAAGAAGATTCTACTACTCTTGAAGAAATGATGAGGGAGAAAGGTCCTGTATGGGATCAGATTGTACAAGAGAAGGATCTGCTTCCTACTAGATTCGAGGAGGTTGGGACTTGGTGGTATGTCGATTCTGTCCTCAGATGTCAGACTGTATCAGACGATTATATTAATCGGGGTATGGAGAAAAGCAGGAAGTTCGGATTTGGGGGTTCCAGAAACACTGCAGATTCATTTCGTTTTTGGATCTACATGACAAGAAAGTACAAGATAATTCCTTAATCTGCTAGGTTGTTGCTGCTGCTGCTGCTGCTGCTGCTAATGGTAGCTGAAGCAGATTGTCATTTGAATTCAGTGGAATTGTTTTGATGCGTCAACTATGAATTGGTCTACAAGTTAGGTTGTGCCCTCAACTTAGCCAAAAGCCAGCCATAGACCAGATCATTTATGATAATGGAATCCCACTCTCTTTGATAATCATCAAATCACACGTTAATGGCACATCTTTATTTTATTTTATTTTTTAATCATTTTTATTATTTTTTTGCAATTTAGAGTACAAAGACTAGTCTTCTTTTTGTACCATGTCTCAAGTTTGAACTTTTATGTATCAAAAACCCCTTTGTTAAAGTCAGACCATATATATTTAGATTTAGGCTATGATCTATAATCTAATTTTATTTTATTTTAGTTTTCGAGTTTGATAAGATCTGGTATGTTGGTATAATCTAATGTGAATTTTAATGGTTTGTTTTGATTTGATATGATTTTTCAAATTTGATTTTAAACTAGTAATAACATCATATGGTAAGAGAGTATAATATTTTAGTCATTACATTTATTTTTTTGAAAGTAACATTATAGTTTTTTTTTTTTTCTTTTTCTTTTGAGGAAGCCTCCATTCATCTTCATGATAACTTGTTTATCTAATGGCATTTTTGTAAATATATCAACATTTTTTTTTCTTCAAGCAACATTATATAGTCTTTTTTATATTCTCCGTGGTTCTTTGCAGAGTTAACCTATGATAATTTGCTAACTTAGTAAACAAAACATTATGATAGGCATCACATACTAAGGCTATGGCTGTATGTACGAGTTATGACGGTTTTTGAATCTAGGTATTCAATCACTCACATGCAGTTTTTACATTTTCTTACAATCTGGTTACTCTTTTGTTGGAAGATGTCAAGGAAATACCAATCAGGGCCGTCTCCGACAATTTGGTGGCCCTGTTCTAACTATTAAAATTGGACCCTTTAATTTTTAGAGGACTATTTTATAAGGTTAAAAATATTAGGGAAATTCTCTTTGGTAAACCTCTAATAATAAACATTCTCAGTGGTAAAATGCAAAAAAAGTTAATATCCTTGGTAAACTATGTTTTAAAAAGTTAAGTCAATGGTAACCTTAATCAATGTAATTAGGCATTTCTTAACCATGGTTAACCATTCTAAGTAAAAAAAAGTTGTGATGCCTAAAATACCCCCATTCTAAAATTAATTTAAAAAATAAAAAATAAAAATCACCACCCTGCCACCACCTTCCCCACCATCCTGCCACCATTCCCTCTCCCCCTCCTCTGGTCGCAGCTCCCCTCCCCCAGCCCCTATTCCCTAACTTTCCCATTCCCGCCGGCAACCTTTATCCCCTACCCTGACACCCCAAGTACCCAACCCCGACACCCAACCCCGATTACCCAACCCCCACCCCGACACCCCAAGTACCCAACCCCTTCGACCACCCTTCCCCATCTTCTCTCCTTTCTTGCACCTCACCACCATTGAAAACGATGAAAAAAATCGAACTAAATTTGTGAATTTCTAGTAATCGAAATCCTAATTCCTCACAACTGAATAAGAAATTATGTGAATTACAGGTAATTGAAATTAATTTGATGTTTGTTGAAGCAAAAGGTGTCGCCGGTGGGGATTTAGGGTTTCGGGAAAGGGTGTGGGTGGGGGCTGGCGGTGTCGAGGGTAGGGGAAAGGGGAGGGGGATGAAGTCGGCGGTAGGGGAGGAGGTTGTGCGCCGGTTGGTTAGGGGGAAAGGGACGCCAGCGGTTTTCAGGCGGTGGGGGAGGGGGGTTGCGTGCAGGGGAGGGATAGAGGTGGTGGTGGCGGGGTGGTGGGGAGGTGGTTCTTAACCATGGTTAACCATAGTTATGCTTAAAATGCTAATTATCTTGCTAAATGTTACCATTGACTTAACTTTTTAAAACATAGTTTACCAAGGATATTAACTTTTTTTGCATTTTACCACTAAGAATGTTTATTATTAGAGGTCTACCAAAGAGAATTTCCCAAAATATTATTATTATAAAATGCTTTTTTTATTTTCAAGTACAGTACTACAAATTATGATAGAGCTAAAATATTCATACTATAAGTATAAGTTTAATAGTAATTCACTAAAACATCAAACAAAAACTTTTTATTTAAAAAGTGTCATCCTTCTAATATTTTTTGAAGCAAAATCCTCAATTATATATTCATAATCAAAGATGAATTTTAGGTTTTACTTTAAAAATGGTAGTCTTTTACAAGGAAGAAGGTGAGTATATAAGGTTATAATTTTTATTTTTTTAAATTATGGCCCCCAGATTTTTAGGGGCCCTGTTTCGTGTGTGAGAAAAAAAAATGTCTAAAAAGGGTGACACCAACTATTTTTACTTCACTTGATTTGACTTTTCGGCTTGTCCTTTCAGCACTACAGTATTCATAAGGGGTCATCAGCGTGTTTATCGGGCCATTAAATCGCGGGGAAGTTGCTCTACATTCAATTTGCTTCTCCAGCGATTATAAATGTCTAATACTTCCTCCGCTCTGTTAATATTGCAACAAGGAGAAAATTACGCATCCCAAAACACATTTTATATGCTAAATATCTATAATTGTGTAGAAAATGTCCATTGTTGCAATATTAATAGAACAGAGGAAGTACGAAAGTACTTGCTAAGGGATTGATTAAAGACTTAACATAGGTCGGACTATGAACCTCCTAAACCTCAAAAGTTCATAACGTCTGTAGATGATTAACATACTATTTGGGTTGTACCAATTGGTTGTTGGTGTAGTGGTGATTGGGACTACACTTGGTAGGGAGGACTCGTGTTCGATCCCCCGCAACAACAATTGGGAGGGGACTGGAACCTAACCACCCAGAACTGATCCCCGAATCCGGATTAGCCCAAAGGGTGAACCGGGTAGAATACCAAAAAAACATACTATTTGGGCCGTTGTTTGAGGATTTTAGATGTTTTACTTGCCTAGTATCCTTATTTGTGGCCCAAACCTTGCAAACAGCTCCAAAGAGGAAGATTTTAGAATCCACATAAAAGTGGATCTACTAAGATTACTTAAATTAGTAACCCAATATCAAGCAATAGAGCCTCAGTTTTGAGCAAGCGTTAGGAATCTTAGCCCTTTTTTAATTGCACCAAATTTATGTATTTACTCAAAATTCCTAAAGAATGTAATTTTGGAGTGTTGTTTCACTTGTTTGGTTAACCAACAAAAGTGCAAAGTGGAAGAAATAGAATTTTTTAGGAATTTCAAATTTCCGACTACATAATATGGGATTCATTTATCCACCTCTCTAGGTGATTAAATTTCCTAAGAAATGTAATTTTCTTATTAATGCCAACCAAACAATAGGAATTTGAAGAGGGAAATAATTTCCCATGATTTGCAAATTACCATGGGCCCATTGCAACCAAACAAGCTCTTAGGATGACTTGTTCATTGTCTTGCCCTCCCGATGTCACTTATAAAATACAGACACATCATCCAACTGTTGTATTTGACTACATTAACATTTTCTAACAACGACATGCAAGAGACACACTTAAATATGTGTCAGACACACGAAAAAAACATTGTCCAGTCTTTTAACATATTCTGACACATGAACACAAAATTTGTCTTACCTTAATGCGTTTTATTTATTATTGGATACACCACGTTACACATATACTGTATAAAATTTCTTGTACTACCTCTATTACTAGTATATATTATTTGCAATGATTAGATATTTTTCTTCTCTACTATATGTCAAGTCGTTACGAATAATATATAACGGAGATAGGATTTACACTTTTTTTGAAGACTTTATACCTCTTTTTTTTTTTGTTTATTCTTTTTACTAACGGATCTCTATTCCTCTCTCATCACTAGCTTATTGGTATCCTCCTTACATTGCCTCTTCGCACCAACGATGTATATTGAACATACTACCTCCGTTAAAGGTTATGTGCAACGATTTAACATAAAGCAGAGAGGAAAAATGTCTAATCGTTACACATAACCTATAACGGAGGTTGTATATTATTTGCCTATATTTACGTTTTTTTAATACTATTTTTAATGATTTGTAAAGTTAATTATCAACTATTAAATTTCCTTATTTTATATAATACAGTATAATTTATGTTTATAAGAGCAACTTCAACGGCAAGCTAATTGCCAAATTAGCTTGTCATGCCACCTAGGATTGCAAAGTTATTCTTCCTTCTAGCTAATTTATGCCACAATGGTTAAGCTAATTAGCATTTAGATTTTTCAGCTTTATTTTTTAAATAATTAGTTTTTTGTTAGAGACAATTAATTTCTAAGCTAATTAGCTTAGCTAAGCTAATTTGCTAGGCATTAGCTTGGCCAAGCTAATTATTAAACTACTCTCCAATGGTTTGGCTATTAGCTTGAAAATTATTAAAATTGCAAGCTAGTTCCTAAAAGCAACCACTGGAGTTGCTCTAATGCATCGTACCCATATCTCTTCTTAATTCTATAGTCTATACTAACTTATATTGTATTCGTTTTGTATTATATACATTCCCGAGCTCGTGCATCCTAAATTCCTAATTGTCACCATCACAACATCTACGCCATGTTGCTAAACACAATTCAGCATCTTGATTTAGACTCTTTCCTCTAAATTAAGTTTGCATCCTTTATCATGGAACAACACACTCTACCCTTTCTTAATCTTCCCTTTCATGGTAATTCTCTTTGAAAAGTACAATATCGATTTTGACTTAATTTGAGCCACCAACTTGTCATAGTCATTGCCGTACCATCTACCATACGATGAAGGCAAGAAAATCAATTAATGATTTGTTACCTTAGTGTCGTTTGATAGAGTGTTATTATTGAAATACACTCGCTATCTTTTTGATGAGCATTGTGCACGAAATTCAAACACTAATGATAATGAAAATTAATCAAAATTTGTTAAGGATGTTATTCAATTAACAAATTATCATTGTCGTTATTTAACCAAACTACATTAAAGAATTGAAATTAAGTTGTAAAGCGGGACAATATAGAGTATCCAATTATAACATATACTAGATGAATTCGTGCGATGCACGGTTTGTTTGATTTTTTTAAAATAATGTTTTTTTTTGTATTTATGAGCCTAAAATTTGTTATATATTTAGATAAAATTCCTAATATTAAAATATAATATTTAATTAATTTAAACTTAAAAATCTCATTCGCCAATTTTGCTTACATGGCATTTAAATTATTTAATTCTAAAAGAAATTAATAATCTCTTATTTAATTGGCTGCTACTAAGTTTTATAATCCTACATGGCGCGCTGAGAAAATTAGATCTTACGTGGCTCTCTAAAAACTCGGGAAAAAACTCCCCTTTATATATATACTAGTTTTGTACCCG